GGAGAAAACAAACAGCAGCATTTACAAACAAGGTCAAGGAACAGAGCAAGGATAAGCATCATTAATGCCAGAGGTTTGGCATATCACATGGGTTTATCTCCAGCATCTCCCCCAGTTCTTTGGGGAGGGAAGCCCTCCTGGACTGAGTTAAGGGTCTCAGCAGGACCCAGCCCACATGGAGGGCAGGACAGGCAGGACTGCTGCCCGCAGCATGGGCATGGCAGTACCCAGGGAACATGCTGCCGGGGACATCTGACAGGGGTTCCATGTCCATTCCCGAGAGCCAGGGCACTCCCTGAAGTCAAGGAAATCTCAAAGCATCCTTGAAGCTTGCTGCCTTCCTCTCTTCTCACTAATTAACTTTACCAAAATGCACTGTCAGTCAAGCCCACACACTCCCTGTCGCTGGGCAAAGCCTAATGGGCTCCCATTTGTGTGTGAGCCAGCCCAGCCATTAGCTGGGAGCGATTAGTGGGGTGGAGCGGCAGCGGCTCTGCCGGGTCCCTTCTTGCCCTCCCTCGGGTCCTGGTCGCAGGGACACCTCAATGCTCCCAGCCGGCAGATCTGTTCCCCAGGGCAGCGCAGTGGCCACCTCTGCCAGGCCAGCAGCACTCCTCGTGCTGCTGCAGCACTGGGAGTACCCCAAAACCAGAGGCAAGGCGAGGGTGGGGGGCGTCAGGCAGAGCTCCAGCAGTGACGGTGCTCCATGGACCTGTCGGTGCTCCATGGACCTGTCGGTGCTCCATGGACCTGTCACAGCAGCACATGGGGAAGCTGGGCTTCCCAAGTGCCATCTCTGGGATAGGATTCAGGCAGGTGGGTCCGTGTGGAACCAGATGGGCTCTGCCCTGCGCCAGCACCGCCTCTGGGCCGCAGTGGGACCTACTGGCTGGGAGCCAGGCTCAGTCTGTCACGGGATCCACAAGGAAAAGCTCCTCTCTGTGAAAATAATGCTGGAGTGTCTGACAGGGTCACTCAGGAATCCCAAGGAGGAAAGCTGCACCCCAAGATGCTGCGATTAGAGTCACTGCTCAAAGTTAACTGCAATTTAAACGACACTATCTTCCCTGTGTTCTGGAAAATATTGAAGGTTATTGGCCCACACTACTTGCAGCAGGAAAAAGCTCAATATTGAACATTTAGTACAGAATTGGTAATGAATCAATATTCCCCAGTAGCTGCTGTTTGGTTTCAGTTGTCTTAAAACAGACCTTGCTAAAAATATCTTTCCTGTAGTGTATCTGTAGCTAATGAGGTGGATTAGAGACTGATGGGAACTGAAAATGGTGCAGGGGCTCTGGGTCTGGAATCAGTGAGTGAGCAGATCCCAGGTGGTGGTCCCACCCAAGGGAAGCCGAAGGGTCTGGTTCTGCTCTGCACAGGGGGAAGCCATGGCTGCCCTGGGCCATGGCAGGATCTAAGGCAGGAGGCACCAGGATAGCAGCAGCTGTAAGTAAGCATGACATTTGGAGTGGCAAGGACACGAAGATCAGATGTCCCCTCCCACTGGCTTTACCATCTCTGCATCAGACAAATGCCAGGACAGAGGAAAACATGGGAACACAGTAACCAACATTAGGAGAATAAGTCTCTGCTCATATCGGGGAATGGCTTTGCCTTTCTAAGGGGTCTGTGTCCCAGGCTGTCTGCAGAGATCCCTCTCTACCATGGCACTCCCCAAGCACAGCAGCATCTGCTCTCTCCAGCTGGCAGCTGGAAGACAGCCCCAGCCAGGCCAGGTGCAGCCCTACCGGAGTGCTGCAGGTAGCCCCTCACAGCTCCCACAGCTGCTGTCCCCAGCCTCAGCTCTGTCCTTTTTGGGCTGCAGCCGCTGGTAGGACCCTGCTCTCCTGCTCCCCAGGCTCTTGGCAGAGCAACAGGAGCTCATCGTGCTGTGGTTAGACTTGCTCCACATTTAATTGCTCCACTTGCAAGGAGGAAAATCAATTCCACGTTTTATATATAAGCAGCCTCTGTGCTTAAGTTTTGGCACATTTGTCAGGTTAAAAAAAAAAAGGTAATAAAACCAAGGAAGTGTCATTTAATTGTTTTAGCTGAACTAATTTGGAGGCTCCAGTGCGATCTCTCCATCGATCCAGATGCAGAGCCAGGCCCTGGGCAGCACTCTGCTCACCCAGCCGCGCTCCCAGCGCTGCCCCTGCCTCACTCCACAGCCACCCTCGCTGCTGCCACAGGCTGCATCCCTCCCAGCCACAGCCGAGTCTCTTCACATGGAAGATCCCAGGCTGAGCCTTGGCTCGGGGGGTCGTCTGCTTGGCCGCACACTGCCACAGCCCCTCAGTGCCAAGTGTGAGGCAAGGGGGACGCGGCTCCTGTCTCCTGGACCAGCATCACTCCTGGTGCCCACAGGTGCCCCTACATGCCCAAGGCAGGGTCTGTCCTGCGGCACAGCCCCTTCCCTTCATTCAGGGCAGGCCCTGTGTCCTGAACCTCCTGCAGGAGCAGTGTCACAGGTTTGGTCCTGCGCTGCCTCTGAAACTCCCAACCCCACGTTCCCCACACCAACCGTGCACAAGGGAAGCAAAAAGCCCAGATCACTCACAGACACAAGGATTATGGGGGGGGGAGGCAGCTCAGGATTTGGGGGGGGCTGCTTCCCAGCCAGGTGTTGAGCACCTCTGAGTGAGGGGTTGAGCCAGGACCCCTATTCTATCACCCATCCTGCCACTCTGACTGCTCTTTAGAGAAACCATTGTCCTTGCATGCCTGCGCTGCAGGGCTGCTCCCAGCTGCTGGCTTTTAGGGGATGCAGGATGGGTGACAGTGCCTGATGTCAGGGGGAGGATGAAGGAATGACACAGACCTGCCAATCGGCAAGAGCAGAAGGACACTGCTGCAGCTACTCTATAAAGGGCAGGAGGAACTAGCCATGCCATAGGAGAGGTGAAGGGCTTCAGCGAGCTCCATGTGTGTCTGTTGTGGCTCTTCCATCACCTGCCACGACTACCACCACAAAAGGAGCTGAACATTCCCAGCTTCCTCCCTGGGCACAAGCCCCAGCTATCAGAACCCCAGCAGAGCTGGGAAGGCGCACTGTGTTTGCCAGCCGCGACACAGTTCCAGCTTTGGAACTGGGGACAGCTCTTCTGGGAAACCACTGCCAAGACAGAGGGCAAGCAAGCTCGGTGGGGCCTCTTGGGCTGCCTCCACCACCCACCATGATGCTCTGACACACAATTACAGGGTCCTTTACCCTGCTGTGAGCTCACAGGCACCAGGCCAGGCTGAGCCCTCCTCTGTCTGCTGAGGCTGATGCCCAGAGGAAGCCCTACGGCCCTGCCCACACCCAGCGCTGTATAACAGCACTGCAAACACCTGCCAGTACACTGAGTGGGAACCCCAGGGAGCTGGGAGTGAACTCCTGGTAGCACCACAGGCAGGAGATGACCACATGGGTGCTCTGAGCCGTTCCCAGCAGCGCTCGCTACCTCTCCAGGAGCACCCGGAGCTCCTCACAAAAGCCTTTACCGAAGTTAAAATCCCATCATCTCCTGCTGGAGACACACTTGCATCCTCTACAAATTATTAAGAGACTCCAGACAATTCCACAGTTATCCGAGTTCAGAGAGACAGGATGACAGAGCATAGGGACCATTCCTCTCACAGAGCCAGGAATCGAGCCTGATGGCAGAGGGGTGCAGGGGCGCATCGAGTGTGGCTGGGGGAGGATCTCAAGCCACTTCAGGTGTGTTTTGGATGGCCCTTCACCCAGGTAAGTGTCTCCTCAGACGGGATGGAAAACCTGTATTCGTCCAGGCTCCTGAGTGCCGACCGGCAAGGCTGGGCCTCAGTGGGCTGCAGTCGCTCGCTCCGAAGGGACCGAGCCGTGACCCACTCGGCACTGCGGGAAGAGGAGGTGAAGGGAAAACTCCAGAGGGCGACTGGGCGACAGCCTCCTCCGGCCGCCCGCCCGCCCGCCGTACCGGTCCGGCCGCTCCCGCCCCGCCGATGGACCGAGGGATGCGGACCCGAGTCCGCCGGGAGGGGAGGGGAGACAGGCGGGGAGCGGGGTGTCAGGTGCGCAGGGTGCTCGGGGAGTGCCGGGACGGGGCTGATCGAGGCGAAGGGTGCCCGGCGGCCAGGGAAAAGGGGTGCTCGGGGCGGGCGGGGGTCGGTCCCGCAGCCCCCCGCCCTCACCTGTACCACTCCAGCCCGCGGTGGTAGTTCCTGTCGAAGAAGTGGGGCTCGGTGCCCAGCGCGCGCACGTCGGGGTGCACCCGGATGAACTCCAGCACGGCGCGGGTACCGCCCTTCTTGACGCCCACCACGATGGCCCGCGGCAGGCGCTTGGTCCCCGGGCGAGCCACCCCCGGGGCGCTGCCGGCCGGCGGGGCGGGGGGCTCGGCGGGGGGCGGCCGCCCGCACGGTCGCGACTGCTGCAGAAGTTTCTTGGCGGCGGCGGCGCGGACGGACGGGCAGCGGGCGCGGGGCGCGGCGGAGCCGCCGCAGCAGCACAGGAGGCTGTAGCAGAGGTACGAGCAGGACAGCGAGAGAGCGAAGAGGACGAGGACTCTCCGCGCCAGCCGCCGGGACGGAGCCGGAGCCGCGGCCAGGGCCCGCCCGCTCGGCGCCCTACGCGCCATGGCTCCATGGGGCCGCGCCGCCGGGCACGGCGCGCCCCGGCCCGGCGCCCCCGCCCCGGCGCCCCGGCCCCGGCGCGGCCGCTCCGGCATCTCCCGCGGCTACGCGGGGACGCGGCCGGGCCGCCCCGGGGCGCTGTGCCCGCCCCAGCCCCGCCGTGCCCGCCGCCCCGCCGCGGCCATCCCCGCGCTCGGGCGGCCGCGGCTCCGCGCTGCCTACGCGGGAAGTGTCGGGGCAGCGGCGGCTGCGCCGCTATTTAAGGGGCCGCCTGACGTCAGCGCCTCCCGGAGCCCCCGTGGCCGCTCGGCGGCCGCTGCCTCCCCCGGGCCGGGCCGGGGGCACCGCCGCGCAGAGCGCTGCTTCCCGGCACCGGGCTGCCACGGGGCTGGGGCGGCTTCGCTCCGCGCCGAGTCCTGCCCTGCCCGGCCCTGGTCCCGGTGCGATCGCCCGATCCCCGCCGCGCCGCCGGGGCCGGAGGCTCCCGCTGTCCTGCCCAGCTCTGCCCCTTTCTGCTCCCGCAGCCATCCCTGAACCGGCCGGAGCAACGGTGCGGGGCCGGGGGCACCCGCCTCCGCTTTCACAGCCGGGCCGAGAGCGGCACCTGCCGCAGTCCCGCAGCCCCCGCCCGGGAGCAGGGACCGGCACCAGCACCGGAGTGGTTTGAGCAGCTCCCGTACGGAAGCGGCAGCCGGGGCTCGGGGCACGGCCGGTCCCCGGGATGCCCCTGCCCCGTGCCGGAGCCGCAACCAACAGCCCCCGTGGGGAGCACGGTGGGGCCACCCCACGGCAGCAGCCGCTTCTGTCCTCAGCAAGGGCAGGAGGAGCAGCCATCGGCCGCCGCGGTGCCGCCGGTAAGTAGGAGGGAAAAGCTTCAAAGTGACGCAAGAATTAAATTTCATTGCTGGACTGGGACCGCTCAGCCCCACCTGTCCCAGATGTGATGCCTCACAAGCAGGCTGATCCGGGAAGCCCACCGGCTGTCTCAGGGTATGGGTGCAGCCTGCTCCATCCCCACCTCCGGCTCCCCCTTCTCCCTCTCACCCCGACAGCCCAGGCTTTCACTTGGCTGCTCCTGCTGAGCAAAAGGCTGCGTGCAGCACCGCTTAGACATTAACAACCGTCACTCTTGCTTTCTCAGCACTGGAAGCTTGTTCAGCTGCAGAAAACTACTTGTCTTGTTCCTTGGGAAGAATGATGCTAATAGGGAGAGACAGGCAAGAAGTGCCAGCCCGACGCAAATGAGGATGCTGCAGGCTCCTGGCTGCCAGTCTAGGGCAGGAACAAGGTTTCCTCCTGTACAACATCCAGAACTCGGTGCAGATGTAAGGAACAATAGAGAAGAACTGAAAAGCTGTGCTGCCTGCAGCTTCTCGCCTGGGCTGCTTTTGGGAGCAATGGCACTGCTCCTCTCTGGGAATGGAGTTTCTTAAGGAAGAAAGAGCCTACTGGCTCGGGTGAGCTTTGGATTTAGAGGATAGGCTGAGTCCTCACGGGACCGAACCTGAATGACCCCCAGGGGTTTTGCTTTTGGGACCTTGTGTCCAGATGCTCTGTATGGCAACAGCTTCTGCCCAGGAGGGCTGTGTCCTGGCCCCTCTATATGGGTCAAGCCAGGGGGATGGAGCCATGTGCCCAGCACCAGCCTGGAGGAGCCAGATGGCACTTGGCGATCCCTGGCTGGTGTGAACGTACCCAAGGCTGGTTCTCCCACTGCCTGTACCCCCTGCAACAGTGCTGGACAGAGCCCTGGCACTGACAGACCCTATGCGGCTTCAGCCCCCTGGTTGGAGGATGCTGCCCTGCCTGGGCAACAGTAGGAAGGGTGGGGGTACCTGAGGGGCAGGGCACTGCAGGTTCCTCTTCCTGCAGCGGGAAGTGTCCATCACTCAGTTCCTCTCCATGACAAACTGCCAAATCTGTGGAAAAGTTGCTTTTTCCATTTTAGATCACCACCTCCATGTGGTGATCCAGCCTCAGCAGCAGACACATTGCTTAAGCATGAAAATTAGAGGCGTCTGGATAAATAAAGCTGCTGCGGATGCCTTGACACCTCCAGGTTTCTCTACTTGCAAGGGAGGAATGTTTTGTAAAGCCGACAATTTTACTTCCAGTCTTTGTATCTGCACAGGGCATGTCTTTCCCATGACATGTTTGCTGTTTACACCCCACTCCACATAAACAACAGCTTTCTGGTGCCATCGGCACACTCCTGGCCCTGCCGCTTGTGCTGACAGAGCCCCGGGAGCCAGCTCCTGGTGGGATCCCCAGCAAGGGGAAGCCAGGCACTGGCACTGCAGGAGGAAAGAGCCCACTGGATCACTGCAGGAGATTCCCTCTCCTCAGCCAGCAACTTGAAGCACGGGGCTTGGAGCAAAAACTGCAAGCTCTGGAGAAGGTCACGCCTCCCCCTGTCCCCCTCAGCCGTTCCTGTGATGAGCTGGCGCTGCCTCCTGCTGCCAGCCTTATGTCATCCTCTCCTTTGTCTTCTCTTCCCCACTGCCCTTAGCCTCTTTTCAGGGTCCCATTAGTGCCCCCACTCCTTGGGTTCCTGGCTAACCTTCCTGCTCCTCCATGCCCAGAGCAGCACCCAGCTCATGGGACCATGGGACTGTGGCCAGCAGCGCTCATGACACAAACACCATGGATGGGATTTGGAGCCTGTCTTCAGCTCTCAGCCCTTTTGCCTTACTTCCTCTCCAAGGGGCTTATCACCCTGTACCATGAAGTAACAGCAGGAACCAGTGCCAGGAGCTCCTAGCTCTGTGGGTTTTCCATGGAGGACCTGGCCCAGGGCTCATCCCAAGCACAGGCAGCTGCCAGGCAGGCAGAGGGAAAGCTGGACAAGTGTAGGGATCAGGGGATTATTACAGAAATACACAGTGTTTGTGCCAGGAGCACATGGAACCTAAAGGAAAAGAGAAGCAATAAAATACACGCTGGAAATAGCAAATAAGATTAAAGGTGGTGTCCTGCCCGTGATGTCTCCAGGTTGTAGGCAGAACAGAACAAGGTTAGAATTTATTTCCAGAGCCAAAGAAAGCCCTCGGGGATGAAGTGTCACTGTTAATCTGGTTTTCTGTGTCTAATATGTATGTCATTAACAACCTTTCATTTCTGGGCCAAAAACTGCCACCTCCCCTTGTGCAGAGGCTGGGCAGTACGTGCACATGGACAGGGGGATCCTCAGTGCTATGGGGCAGCCAGGGCTGAGCTGCTTCAGCCTCATGACCCTGAAACAGGTGCCGGGTCTGCTGTTCAAGTGCCTCCCTGTCCTGGCAGGAAACTTGGACCTGGAAAAAGGACATTTTGGTGTTTTGCAGTAGGACAGTGGAAGAGAGGGATGTCACTGAGCCAGAGCCAAAGGCAGCAGTGAGGGACCAGGAGGGTGCAAGGATAGGGGTCAAGGCTGATGGTGCTCAGAGAACTGCTGCACATCACCAGGACATGGTGGACACTGTGAGGGGGCATGTGCCAGCAGGGCCCAGCCATTCCCAAACCCTGTGAGCACGCTGGGTGTGCATCCTCACTCCCAAAGGCTCCACCATCCCTGCAGCAGCCATCAGCACTCATGTGGTTCTCCCTCCCTCCCTCCCTCCCTCCATCCCTTCCTCTCCTTTGGTGGACCCCTCACACCATCCTGGCCCAGGGAGAGCCACAGGCTTGGTGCGGAGGATGGAGGTGATGCTCAGTCCCATCGGCTAATGACACTTCAACTGCCCTGGCCCCAGAGCTCCTTCTGAGGGCTGATCCCAGCTCCCACAGCCCCTTGGCTCACCCCCCACCCAACTTGGCTGGCAGATCTCCCAGTGCTGCAGTGTGGGGTCTCCCAAGGGCAGTGGAGTCCCAAAGTGCCCATCAGATAGCAGAGTGGAAGCACAGGCTTTGGAGCTGCCTTGAATTGAGTCTGAACTCCTGTTAAGCCTTGTTAATCAGTTGTAAATGCACTGTATTCCCAATAAGGCCAGAAACAATAAATTTAATTTTGACTCTGACTCAAGCTACTTTGGTCCTAATTCCGAGCTTCCTGCCCACCCAGAGCAGCCAGCTCTGGCCACGCTGCACAAACTCATTTGATTCTGAAATGCATTTTTAAGAAGGATGGAACAGTGCTTAAAAGCTAAATGGCTTCCCCCAGCTGTAATCACTGCTTGGGAGTCCTGGAATGAAAGGGATAAAGTCTGGGGGAGGGGGGAGCTTTTAATCTCGCTGAGTAGATTACAGAGATTACTGCAATTTAATCCTTACATATCTGTCACTGACGCTGCAAAGACCATAACTGAGGTGGGCAGGGGTGCACCAGCACCCTCCGAGCTCCTGCCCCTGGTAGCAGGGGCTGTGCTGCAGCTCTGCCACCCACCACACCAGGGGCCACGGCTGTGCCCACCAGGATGAGGTCCAGCAGGCACCGACCCCAGCACTGCATCCAGCAGATGAGAAAGAGAATGCCAGGTTGGGCTGACCCTCTGTCCCAGCCATGACCACCTGGGCAGTGGGGGCAGCCACTGGGGGACAGCAGCTGAATCCTGCCTCTGGGGCTGGGTACCTGCTGGCTGTGCTCAGACTGGAGATACACCAGGACCTGAGGAAAACAAGAGAAGGGCCTTGGGAGCAGGCAGTGCAGGCAGGGCAAGGATGACCCACAAGGTCCCAAGTCCTTGCCCCCGGGAGCGGTTGGATCCTCCCTTTCTCCCCCACCAGCATCCTTTCTGCCCTGGAGGGAGCCAGAGCCACCTCCCCAGTGTCAGAGGGCTCCAGGCAGCCCTGCAGGGTCTCTCAGTATCAGGCACTGTGTGAGCAACGCAGAAAATGATGCAGTCACAGGGTTCATCTGTGCGCTGCGGCAGGCAGGGACCCCGGAACCATCTCTGCTCTCACCATACACCATCATGCACGGAGCTCTCCCAGGCTCTCTGCAGTGCCTGCTTAGGGTAAATCTCATTATCATTCCTCGGGGATCACAGGGGCAGGAGCTAGTTCTCCAATAACTAGAAATATCTCTCTGGCTCACAGACCTTCACAATTATATTTAACTGCAAATGAGGAATCTGTACTCAAACACAAGCTGGTAATTTTTTTTTGAAGCTTGTTTTCAGTGTCACCTCATGTTCAGCCAGCCCAGCTCTTCCACAGCTCTGTAACCCATCCTTGCCTTACGTAAACTTGAAGGCAGAAAATCAGAAGTGAGCTGCCCTGTTCCCACTGAAGGGACAGGACTGGGTAACTCACACTCACTTCCAACACTGCTGCCTCCTCTGGCACCATCGCTTGCTGCAGGAAGGCCAGCCTTCCTCTTCCTAACTGCACTGAGGGTCCCCCCACATGCTAAGAGGTGTCATTGCCCCATTTGGAAGCCACCATGGGCTGGCTAAAAAAGCCACTAAAGACCAGGAGAGCAGGGAGTGTTGCCAGAGGTCTCAGGCTGCAGAAAAGCCGTGGTTCCAGGGAAAGTGGCCCCTCACCCACAAGAGGTCTCTGCAGCACCCCAAATCCAGCACCAACATACCTGCACCATCCTCAGGGGCTGCTGTGCATCTGGCAGTGGTTCCCTCCTCTTGTCCCCTCTGGGTGAGCAGCCCCATGGCTCTGGTACTGTGCGGGCTCTGGGAACCCACTGGGCATGGCACAGGGGCCCCCTGAGCCTCATAGAACAAGTCTATGCAGAAAGTGCAGGCAACACCAACCCCTCTCCTGACAGCCCTGCACTGCTAGAGGCTTTTGAAGCCTCACCCACTGCCAGCTGGTGTCCTGACTGACCTCACCTGGGGCTGGGTGGCCCAGAGGGGCCCACAATGGGGATGGCTGGGCAGGGGCCTGGCTCTGGGCTTGTGAGACAGCTTGTGGAGGAACAGGTCCATGGCTGTACCAGACACAAGAGGTTGTGACAGGCAGAACAGCAGAAGCTTCGGTGGCAGCTCTGCACTAAAATTAACTCCTTTGAAAGCAGTTTCTGGTGCATTTCCATGGGTGCCCGAGCTGTGAGAGAGTGAAGCGCACGGGTGGGAGTGAAGAAGTGACGTGCTCCCCGTCTCAGTGAGCTGCAGTCAGGGCCATGTGGTGAGTGCAGGCAGCTGTTGGGCATGAATGATGCAAGCACAGAGCTGTAGGTTGCTGCCAGCCCAGGTGGGCAAAAGGCCTGCAAGGCTGGACCCATCCTGCCCAGCGTGAAGGTCTCCCAGCAGCTTGCTCTGCCTGCAGCCTTCTCCCTGCAACCCGCTGGCACTGACACAGCTCTGCACCTGCGGGGAACAGCCTAAACCAGCCACTCTTGACGTTGCACCAACCTCTGACTGCACCGGAGGTGGCAGATGTAGTGGCCAGTGGAGGGGTGGTGGGAGGAGAGCCCGTGCTGTGAGAGGGCTCCCACTCTGGGATGCTCACCGTTGTCCCCATCCCAGCACCCTCCTGCAGCTCCGCCAGGCAATGTGGGCAAGAACTCCCTCCAGCCACACTCTCCTGCTCATGGTCCGTGGGACTCTGGGGATAAACACTCCTATGAGAGAGGCTCTGGCTGAGCCTGTATCAGTTGATTATGTGGCCCCTGCTGAGGGTCCTGAGGGCATGGGCTACCCTGTACTTCCCCAGGTCAGGTGCCTGTATCAGCTGGAGTGGGCACTGACTGCCCTGGCTGGGGCAGTGCCAGGGGGCTGCAGTTTCCCCACCCTGGCAGGGCTCACAGATGCTGTTCAGCAGTGCAGTGGGGATGCTGCCCCAGCCCATCGTGGCTCGGCACGGTGGTACCACACGTGCAGGCGCGGGAGGAGCCACGTGGCCACGGGCGGGTGCTCTCCCTGCCAAAGGCATGTTCCCCGTGAGCGCACATCCTTCAGATCAGAAGCACTCTCCAGCAGGAGAACTTTGAACACCCCGCCTGCTATTTTTAATGGGATTGAAAAGAGAACAAAACCATTTAAGAACTTGAAGAATCAAAGCAAGTGTCCCCACGTCACACCCAGCGCTCGCAGCTATATCCTGATTAATGACAAGAAAGAGAGGGGAAACAATATTTAATCACACCCTGTTTATATTGGAGCCAGAAATCAAAGTGCT